GAGGACTTCCGATTCGAGGAAGCGAGCAAGGCTTTCATCTTCGTCGTCTAAAGGAGCCATGCACGTAATATAAATTTGATTCAAAAACGAATAAAATATTTGTGACGTAGATACTTATACGGGGAAATGATCGGAGAATTGTCCCCGGCGACCGGAGATCAGCATCGGAAAATCCGGGCCTTCGGATGGAAAATTTTTAGGAAAAAGAAAGAAAGAGAAGAGAGACAGGAGATGCGAGATTGTAGGCCACGTGTTTGGCGGGTCGCGTGAGATCGCATTCGGGTCGGATAAAAGATCCGAAATTGTGGGGTCCGTTATGGTTCTTTTTCTTTTGTTGGGTCCGGTCGGTCCGGAGATATTTTTCCCCATTTATTTTCCAGAATAATAGGAGGAAAAATACCAATGGTGATATTGATAATTACTTCTTAATTCAAAAAATGATTGTTATTGTCCATTAAAAAAATCTTACAAATTTCAATGAGAGGACATTGGCTTTTGTTACAATCTAATTTTCGTAAAAAATTGTTTAGAGTTTTTCCTTCACTAAAAAAATTCTACTGTTTTTCTTCTTTAAAAATTCTAGAGTTTTTATGCAATGAAATAAATGTTCTTATATATTGGTTGTATAGAATATCAGAAAGTGAAATAAAAGATGGAATATTTCTTTTTTGTGGAAAACGATGCCAATACTCCCCCACATTTTGATATAGACCATTGGTGTTGTTTTTCCTTTTTTTTTTTTTGCTTAAATAAAATGTTAATACACCCAAAAACGAAACTTGTTATGGACTAAATACAGGAAAATGATAAAATGTTTACTTAGACACTCCAATTTTGTTTTGGAACTTGACTACCTCAAATGTATGTACACAACTTCAACAAGAAACTAGTTTTAACTACAAGCTAAACTTCTTTTCAACAAGCAAAAAGTAAATACGTTAGAATCCTATATGTTTTAGGGATAATTTCAGAAACCTCCCCTGAGGTTTTTGACATTTACACTTACCTCCCCTGTGGTTTGAACAATTACACTGACCTCTCCTGAGGTTACTAATCCTTTACAAATTCAGTCCAAATGATTAAAATATTATTTTAGAGAGTGAAATTAGAATTTTGTACCTGATTTGTCCTTTGTGCCACATGTCCAATGAATGGCAAAGTATTACAAATTAATTAACAATTAATAAACTTTAACGAGCGTAGTTTATAGACAAATACGTATTGCCTATTTAAAGTACCAGCTCTTTACATGAATTTTATTTTCAAACATTTACTTTATCACAAATATTTATTCTCAAATACAGATTTATATTTACTCTCAAATATTTAATTTTTATTAAATACAAAACCTACCAGTTTTTCTTCCGTAGAAATATTAATATAACATTTATTCAATTTCAATTACAAATATTTATGTATTTAACATAAATTAAATGATTCAGAATAAAATACTCATAAAGAACTAATACTTTACTCATGTAATGGATGAAAGCCATAAAAAATTAACATTTTATAGGCCATTTCTTTTTTTTTTTTTAATTTTAATTTATATTAAATAGATAACCTATCGATTTTCTTTTTACAAGAATATTATTGTAACACCTTTTAATTTTTAATTACAAATATTGATATATTTATTGTAAATTAAATATTTAAAAATAAAATACCTGTAAAGAGCCGGTACTTTAAATAAGTTATGCGTGGTTGCCTATAAACTACACTCTTTACTTAAATCAATAAACTACACTCCTTAACTTAAATCAATAAACTATACTCCTTACTTTAAATAGTGTAGTTTATAGGCAAATACGCATATTCTATTTAAAGTATCGGCTCTTTACAGATATTTTATTTTCAAATATTTAATTTATGATAAATATATTAACATTTGTAATTAAAAATTAAAAAGTGTTAAAGTAATATTCTTGCAAAAAAAATCAGTAGGTTATCTATTTAATATAAATTAAATATTTTTTAAAAAATAAATGGCCTCATAAACTATTAATTTTTTATGACTTTCATCCATTACATGAGTAAAGTATTGGCTTTTTATGGATATTTTATTCTGAATCATTTAATTTATGTTAAATACATAAATATTTATAACTAAAATTGAAAAAGTGTTATATTAATATTTCTACGGAAGAAAAACTGGTAGGTTTTGTGTTTAACAAAAATTAAATATTTGAGAGTAAATACAAATATGTATTTGAGAATAAATATTTGTGATAAAGTAAATGTTTGAAAGTAAAATACATGTAAAGAGCTGGTACTTTAAATAGGCAATACGTATTTGCCTATAAACTACGCTCCTTAAAGTTTATTAATTGTTAATTAATTTGTAATACTTTGTCATTCATTGGACATGTGGCACAAAGGACAAATCAGGTACAAAATTCTAATTTCACTCTCTAAAATAATATTTTAATCATTTGGACTAAATTTGTAAAGGATTAATGACCTCAGGGGAGGTCAATGTAATTGTTCAAACCACAGGGAAGGTAAGTGTAAATGTTAGAAACCTCAGGGGAGGTTTCTGAAATTATCCCTATGTTTTACTTTCAGTCCGACCCCTCTCTCAAGCTATCCCACCCTCTCTTAGGTTAAGTAAAAAGTATGCAACTTGCAACACATCTTTTGTTTCATTTCCTATACCACCTTCTCTCAGGCTAACAAGTATCATACTAACTTAACTCATCTTAATCCTTTTAAACCTTCAAAACCACAGTTAAATTCGATAAAAGCAAACTAACGATATTTATATTAAAAGATAGATAGGAAAAATAGCATTTTAATTATAAGTGTAAAAAAAGTAATGAGAGGGTTTAGGAAGAACTTAGGTAGCCGTTGTCTCCATCTCAGACGAACAGTGGCTTTTCCTTTTTCCATCTCCTCTACAAAAACTTCCCTGCAAAGTACTTTTCTAGTTTTTGGTTTATTTAACACTTCAAATATCAATTTGAAGTAGTTATTGAATTCAATAATATTGAAAATCGTAAGTTGTTGATATACTAGATTACCTTATAATGTGGTGATTCAGTATCGGGCTTTCCGGAGGGGAAGTATTTTTCAAGTGCTTCTAAGCAACGTTGGAGACAAGACGGCTATCATTGAAAGGAGGAGCTAGGAATTAAAAGCCCGAGGTAAGCCTCCTTTCGTCCTGGTTAAAAGAATTTAGCAAGGGACACGCTGACGTGAAGGGTTCGGCTCCATACTGGTACAATACTGAATTGGAGCTCTTAACTTCCTCTCTGTGAACAAACATGGAATAATTAGGCATTGCACACTTGTAGGCTGAAAGGGGCCCCTCCACTGAAAAGAAAGGCAAAGTTCGAAAATTTCTTCTGTTATAAGAATCATAGCAAATATGACGTTGAAACAGATGACTATTCTATTTTGTTGAACCTTGTAATCATTAGTGTAGTTTTGCTACTTATTTGTGTTGTTTAATTTATTAAATATAAATTTTTTGAGAGGTAAAATGTGTGTATTAATTATTTCTAACTTTTAATTATTTTTATTCTTTTATTAATACAACTTATATACATGCACATGCATAAAGGGGTATTTATGGAATAAAAGTTCCATCTCGCTCCTTAAAGTATTCTTTTAATGTTGCTTTTTCTAATTGTAGGGCTGTCAACGGTCCGGGTCTAGACCCGGACCCGGATTGGATCCGTCAAATTTATCCGGGTGTGGGTAGGGATTTAGTTCCGTTACCTGGACCCGGATCCGGATCCGTTTTGTCAAACAAAAAAACGGGTCGGATACGGAATATAGTATTCCGGCCCGTATTGGACCCGGATCCGGATATAAATAGATTAATAATTTAAAAACTATATATTTATTAATATAATTTTATTAGGATGATGTATTTGAGTAATCAATATAATTGGACCCGAATCCTAATCAATATAATTTGATTAGAGTGATGTATTTGAGTAAGGTTAATTTGATTTCTTTTCTTATTTGATTTTTTTTGTATTAGTTAGAAATTAGTTTATAAATATATGTTTTTTTTCTCATTTTTGTTAGAAATTATAAATTTTGTTAGTTTTTTTCAAATAGACCCGGATCCGGATCCGGGACCCGTCGGATCCGGGACCCGTCGGATCCGGATCCGGAACATAGAGTAAAAGACCCGTCGGGTAAAAGGGTCGGATCCAGATCCGATATAGTGTGCCGGGTCCGGGTCTGGAATAATGAATTCCGGTCCGGACCCGACCCGTTGACAGGCCTATCTAATTGGACTAATTTTGTTATCAAACCTTAATCTCAAGAGAGGTTTATATAATTTTGCAAATTTTATGGAATGCTAGTGAAATTGTTAGAAACCTCAAGAGAGGTTTCTGAAATTATCTCAATAAATAAACAAACATAATCAAATCAGGGTGACCACGCGGGGGGGGGGGGGGGAATTGCCGCCGCTTCCCTCACAAAATTTTTAAAAGTCTTGTATTGCATATAGATAACCACCAGCAAAGGCTGAAGGCCACCACCTAGCTTGGTGGGGCAAAAATGCCATATTTAAGTGATTTGCTTCAAAAAAAATCCAGGCGGGTGTGTTGTGCACCCGTTTGATCCGGTGGTGGTTCAGTCCCCTCCAAATTATCCCTGGACCTCCTTAGGTCCGCCCCCTCCTCCTTAGTGTAGAATAAATTAGGTTATACAACTATTGTCGTCTTAAAAAAAAAAAATGTATTGCATATAGATATTTTGAATTTCCTAATTAAACCGCACCATTTCCCTCCAACGTTTTATCTATTTCCTGTACTTTTCTATGTATAATCTTCCATGATAAACCATTTCTTAAATCTGGCGTACGCAACTACCCTTGTTGAGAAACTCACCCACCACAATCAAGTGTGCAACCCGAGTCGACCAACGAATTAGTCAGGGCAAAGCCCTGGATACCGTAACAGGCAACAAAAAAAAAAAAAACCATTTCTTAGTCTCGTATTTCATATGATTAGCAAAATGTAAAAGATAGCTACTGCTTACTAGCAATAAAATAGAAGCACGTATTTATTTATTCAAAAAAAAAGCATAGAATTGTGAGTACATATTTATTTAGAAGAAACAAAAGCAATTATGTACGAGTATGAAATGAGAATATTTTGGCTAACAGTTTTTTTTGGTCTATTTTGTAGTCAAAACAAAACGATAGTACCAAAACTGGAAACTCAATCTTCAGTAAATTTCCGCAAAATTTCGTCAGCTATTGGGAATTCAGGAATTATATCCACTGGCACCTGAAAAATTGCAGAGAAGCATAAGATACACAATTTTTTAGCATTACAGGTTAAAGGCTTTTCCCAGGCACAGGAGGATAAATGCATCATCTCATCTATAAAGGAAGTGAGCCTGCTATAAAAACTCTACGATTACCATCCACCCCCCAAATTGAAAGCACTTTCACGGAAAAAGATTTATGCTTTTGCAAACCAAAAAAAAAAAAAAAAAAATGAAAACCAGGTGCACCCAAAGTTAAAACTTTTATGAAAATCCACTTACTACTGAGAATGTCAACTATACCAATACTAACCTTTAAATCACCTTACTATCCCCACTAAAGCACACGGTGCAAAAACATCCAAACAAAGCTTAAACCATGTCATGTGTGCTTGAAGCAATTTATCATTGACAGCATACAGAAAGGGTAGGAAAAATTTAAGGGGATAATTATTCTTGATCCGGCAAGTGGATTCTTAATCCCCACATGGAAAGGACTGAGCAAAGATGGAAATCTATGTAGCAATTCTTTAAAGCTTTCTACTTCTATGCCAAACTGCAAAACCTTATTAGTAGTAAGCATATTTATACCTGAACGAGTTCCAACTTTCTCAATGCATCTTTAAGCGGTTGTGTCATCACACTGTATTTTTGAAGAATTATTCTGGCCATGTTTTTGTCACCTCTTGCTTGAATGGTAAGGATCTCCCTGCTTAAGCTCTCAACTACACCTTCAACCTTTTCAGAGACCCAACAAAAAAAATAAGAAGAAACTTTCCTGCACTAGTTCAATTACAATGAAGCAGTTCTTGGCAAGGAGTCTTTAGAAGTCCATACCTTGTCAAAATTAACAGAGAATGTTTCATCAGGATGTAAAACAATTGCGCCATTTTCAAACAGATAGTTGAACTGCAGTGCCTGCCCTTTCCTGATCAGATCAGCAGGAAGTGCAAAATATTGCAATTAGTCATTAGATAGTGGTGGATCATTAACATATAACGCCAATTTCAAAAGAAATTCCAATTAGGAAAAAAGAACAGAGAATCAAAAGTAGAGAATGATGCTGCAGCAGTGAAAAAGAAAAACATGGATAACAGATCAATGTGGGGAATTGAACAGCTTACCCATGAGCTTCCTCCAATCCAAAACGTACGGAGCGAAAACACCCAGCTAGGAAGGAAACATACATGGATTTGACCAAGCTCTTTGGAAGCAATTCCTGGTGAGCAATATCGAGAAAATCATAGACATTAAAGAAATGGCATCCACAGTGCACAATACATGATAAAAATGTGCATCATACCGAACTTGGACTATCCTAGACAATTAAATATATGGGAATAGCTGTACAACACTGTTCAGCATTAGACCTCTAAGAACACTCAAGAGAAGTTCATAAGCACCAATCAAGTAGGAAAGGACTCAGAATAACGTCAATTTGAATTTGTCTGTGAGGTCCAATCAAGACTACATATTCTTCACAATGATGGGCATAATGGACCATACAGATGGTGGTGCAGAAATCATCCTCGTATTTATAGAAGTCATTTTAGCACTGACAGACTCGCATAAATTTTCTAAACTCACTAGAATGCCATAGGGAAGGCATGAACTAAGCTGACTTATGTTCAAGATATTAGAAATTCATGTTATCATCTAAGGAGAAAAGCAAACATGCCCATTTGTGTCCTGCCATCAACTCAATAAATTGACATTCCCATGATCGCAGTCAAAGATGAGATTTAAAAAACAAATGAAACGGAACACAAGCTCGTAAACGTGCATTATCCTTTGGAATGTCAAAATTTTAAAATCAGAATGTTTTGAAGCTTTGACAATAGATGTCAGAGAGTAACCATTAACTACTTCACCTATACTATAAACATAGGGAAGGTAGTGTTGCTGTTAATGGCCCATTTCCATTTTTCTTAAAAGAGTTATGAGACTTCAATTTAAACTCTGAGTAGATCAACGTGTAAATGTACCTAATAAGGAAAAAGAAAAGAAGATAGTGAAACATTATACATGTAACCAACTGATTTGCAGAGTTGTTTGGCAAATGTTTTTAACCTATGAAGAACAAAAAAAAATAATAATAACAAACTGAAAATTTAACACCAATCTCCGGCAAACTCAACTGTAATGTAAGCCTGTAGGCTACATAGAACAAAGTAGAATACAACAGTCATAGTGAAAGTACCAATTAACATCTGATGAATTACTTCTTTTTAGGTCATGATATGAATTACTTACCTTGTCAATTAAAAACTTTAGGGCCCAAAGACCAACAATATCTGCTTTTGCTTCTTCCAATGCCGAATGAAGTTCTTGTAGCTCCTGTATTGAACAGATATGAAGGATGTTACCAACTCATCTTTTCTTTTTTGTTGTGTCTTAGGAGCCATTTTCACTCCAAATATGTTATCGAGGTTAAAAAATATCAGAAAAAAGGAAATTGAGGAGAGGAAAAAGAAAAGAAGACAACATGTCCTTCTTCAGTTAAAATCTTCCAAGTATAACACTGTAAATTAAAATGTGCCAGCAGATTGTCCTGCACGTTACTAAAAATATTTTTCTACGTGTAATTTGTCTCTAAACAACTCTGATTCAGTAGAATAAGTATCTTTTGAAGGGGCATTAAGAATATACTTAGACTACAGTATTTGCATATTGTAAAATGTGTAAGCTAGACTCTTTTATGCAGGCCTCCTTTACAAGAGAAGGCCTCCTTTACAAGAGAAAAACACAGGTTATTATAATATTAATATATATATATATATATATATATATATATATATTCTTCAACATTGCACACGAAAGGAACAACAGAATAGAGTCCATGATTGGTAGCATCATGGAGTGTATGAAACTAACCAGTCTAACTGTAGACTGCTTTCCATTTGGAAGTTTTATTGTGTGAGGTCCAATTCCATGGCAACATTCATGGCAAATTGTATGAGTGAAGAAAGAGTCAAAGTCTACAAATTCCCGTTGTTCCTTTGAAATACATACAGCAGCTATTGGCTGAAGAATAAGCTTGAACCTGTTTAAGGGAAGCAGGTTAAAAGCTTAACAAATTGCATGGTTGAAATGCCTTTCAAAGCCAATGAGGAACATTTATGCAAAGACATCTAATTAATTATTAGAGAACTTTAAAATGTTCCTATTTTTAGATAAAAAACCTAACTTTGCCTCAGAGACATTCTTGAGCATGACCATGGATGTCCCTCGATCATTTACAATGCGCTCGTCATTTGGAAGATTAAATGCAACAGTCTGGGGGCCCTTCACATCCTGCCAAAAGTAAAAATAACAATGATCAAGATATTTTTGGTGCTTTATTTTTCTAAAAGTTGAACAAAGCAAGTTTTCAACTACAGGAATAATCTAGAAACACCAACACACCTTCAAGGTGATCTTGATTTTGCAATTACAAAAAAATGCCAGGAGTCAAGTAGAAAAATCACTAAAACTAGAGGAGCAACCCTATGGACTTCAGTATTAGTTAAGCATTTAAATGCAACATGATTCCACATATTCGGCCTAGTTCAACAATAAGTTAGTTGCAGAATTGGGTACCTGTTCATTTTTTGTTGATAACTTTAATTAGCAAAAAACTTATGCCATTTAACATTGCTTTGGTCCGGAAAGGTGTTTCTTCAGCTGTTATAAATGCATTTCTTCTCAGGGACGACAAATACTTTTATGGTTTACTGAACGAAGATGGTTAATTGTAAACAGAGTTTCATATCACTGTGAAATTTGATATATTTAGTCTCCTACAAAAGGAAAGCCAACAACTTCAAAGGAGGGAAGGATGATACTCAAGAATTTGTCAGACGCAACATCGTTAACAGGTACATTAACCGTGAAGAATTGATTAGAATAGCATTCTGTTCATTTACCTTGGGAGTCAGAATATTATCAGAGCATGCACGCGTGCACTTTTAAGCCCAGCACTGGCACAGAGAGGAAACCTTGAATTTCTATATACTTTGGTTGGTAGAAAACATGTACAACCTATTTGATTATTTCGACCTCTTAGAATGAGTCCTATCAGTCAGGAAAACATCATCGTGTTTCATTCACTCCCTAAGTCAATAAACAGGAATCTCTCATTTTTAGTATGAAAGCTATTTACACTTGGCATTCTGATCTGATAGAAGATAATTATTACCTAAAAATATGCTCTGAAGATCTTTCTCCATTTGTATAAAAGAGGAATTGGCTTCCATAATAATCGCGATGAGCATTTATATACAGAATGGTTAACTATAGACCCTTAAAACTTACGCCAGAGTTATAAAGCAGCTGGATGACTCGAATAGGGGCAGCAATCACATCCTCTGACTTGTAAGCATCGTCCATTGGAAGGTTTTTCTCTAAGAACTAGTCAGTAAAAATTTGTGATAAGAAGACAGTGAAGGAGGTGGCAGAAAAAGCAAGGAACCAATGCTTGATAGAGGAAAACGTAAAATCAAGAAAACCTGTAACTGATCACCAAAGAGTTTAACTTGTTCTGTAGCTTTATCATCTCGAACTCCAATAAATGCCTCAAATGTTGCCTGAAGAGACTCAAAATGAGCTACAAGAACAAGGAAATGAAAAAATGCACTTTTGGTACCAATTGCATACATTCTGAGCGGTACAAACCAGTGTTTAAATGTTGGGTTGTGTGTTTCACTATTAACCTAAGATCAGATAGACAATCTATTCTGCTGCTCCTACAAAAGATGCTTGGATAATAATCAATTTCGGATACGCATGCTACTATTGAAAATATAAAAAGCATATCAAGATTCAAGTTGCATTTATCTGCAGATGCAGAAGATCAAGAGGAAGGCAGGTAATACTTCCAGTTTTCTCCAAGAATGTTTCCAAGAAAATGTGGAAAAGAAAATACTACTTTACATGTATTGACAATGCATTTCAGCTTTCCACTCATCTACTTCTGCGATTACATGTTTTAGCAGTAAAATAGTATCCATTATTCAAATGCTGTAAGTGTGGCCAAAGGCTGGCTGGGTCTCAGATGTCCAGAGAACCAAACAACAATGAATGTAATACTCTTTTAAGTAATAAATAAGCCTATTTCTCAGCACATGGTTTGTACTAAAAGTGATCGGCAGGAACAGGTTCCAAAGAACCAAAGACTATTCTCAAAATGTTCTTGTGGATGGTAACCACTAAGTGGATTTCAGTGATGTCATATGGAGAGTCCCTTCAAAGATTCAAAAGCAGCCAAACACGAGTGTGTAGTACCATATTTATAAATACAAACATAAACAAGTTATGCGTTCCAACCCAATACCCAATAAAGAAAGAATATAAGCAAGCAGAGGCAAAATGACATCCATGAAGTACCTTGTATCCAAAAAGTCCATCTTCATAAGTCTCGTATGGACCAATTGTAACATCCAATTTTGAGTCCTTGAATAAACATAGCATGCAGACATGTGAGCTTCTTGATGGCAAATAAAATCGATGCAAAAGACAATTTTATAATAGATGCTCTAAACCCCACACTTCTAGAGCAGAGAAATTCTGCAGTTACTATGATTTTTTTCATAGTCTCATTATAATTAACTGTTCTGTGTCCTTAGTTTCTTCCACTGTGTCAGATTACACATCCCCCCCAGAAGTCCAGAAGAACTAACCCTTGGTCCAACTACCCTGCATGTGCTCTTGACATATCATTATGACTAGATAAGCATCCATGCTAAATTCCTCAGACTCTCTAGCTCACACTCCCAAAATATTAAAACACTGAAGACAAGCTAAGACAATTCACGAATGCTTGCTATTTTAAGTACAACCAATATATCAACACCAAATCTCCTACCAACTAAAGGTGGATATTTAAGAAAACAGAATAAGAATGCTGTCTGAGGATCTAATGTGCAGAAGAACGCGATGCCCACATCAAATCATTTTTATGATGTTGATGCCAAAGTTAAATAAATGAAATTGAAAGTTCAGGATAACAGGGAGTGAATTCTGTGGGTAAGTCGAACACAGACATGCACAAGAAAATGTTATGAGAGGAACTAACAAGGAGACAAATGCGATGACAATGCTGAGTCATACTCGTGAGTTTGACATAATCTTAAATAAAAGAAATTGAAAATTTCAGGATTACAGGGAGAGAGGGCTGTTATTAAATCAAACACAGTCATTTTCAAGAAACAAGAAACCCATAAAATATGAATTCCTCTTAAGCACCCATTTTCACCAGATTGCTTCAATCGCTAAGTATTTAAATATTTCACTTATTTCATATTTATTTTCTAATAAACGAGGAAATTTTCTGGATGGAATTTTTCCATGGATTACAGTTATTCCACTGGAACCAAACCAACAGGCATAGCATGATAAGTTATAGAACAAGAAATGTTTAGCTTTCTTCCATATATTGTGTCAACATATTCAAGGTGAACTTCCCAAGAATGTATTACAACAACTCTGGATTTATCTACTTCCTCAACTCTGAAGATAAACCTACGGATCAACTCATCATCTAACGTTCTGACAAAATCAGTTTAATTTTGAACCTTAGCAGTTCACTTGAAACAAAGTCTGTTAATTGAAAGAACAGTACGCTAGTCAGCACAAACAAATAAAAAAAGTATATGATCAGAAAAACATGCACCTATTTATCTTCATTCATTTACATCTATATGAAAGTGCAACAACTACTAATGGTTCCAGATCGAAGATCACATAAATGATATATAACATAAGATCCAACTTTCATCAATAGAGTCTCTAAAAATTAATTTGTCTGTAAGTAATTGTTTATCCCCATTGTGTTTCAGTTTCACATAAGCACTCCTGTTGAAGTCATGTAAAAAAAATTAAACATCCTTTTAAGTTTGGATTTTGTCTTGGGGTTTGGATATAAAACTCAAAACTAATTGACAGTGCGTATCATTCAGTCAGACTTACATCCATAATAAGATTTAGATTATTAATTCAAACACAAAGGTCAAATATGTGAAGTGATTTATTCCTTTATAAATAGCATACAAAATCAACAAGTCATAACCATTATAATCCAAAATTCAACTGTCTTTTTTCTTCTATATTATATATCTAATCAACTTCGAGATACGAAAACTCAAAAGAAGAAGCCTTCTAATGGATAGTGATGCGTCTCTTAATTGTTTTACTTATTTCTTTAGATGAGTGGCTGGTATATCCTCCTAAAATATGGTACTCCAACACTAAACTTGGGAAAAGGATTCTCTCATAAGTTTACTCGTTGGTGGCAGAGGATGTCACCAAAATTGTAAGGGAAATTTGACAAAAGTAAATCCATAAAACCCGATAGCAGTATTCTATTCACACTGATAGAACTTCAATATCCTTTAAATATCAGCAGTCTTGAATATGTCAATCAGAATGTTCCCAACTGCAAGTAGTTAGTCATAGTAGGAAACTAACTAGAAACTCTTACAAAGGTAAATAGGGTTGATGTGCCGCACATCTAATTTACAGAGCACGAAATGATTGGCAATTACAGAATACTAACCAACTCCATCCAGGCAATATCTGAGTCATAGTAGTCATTTGAAAGGAAGGCATCAGCCTTTCCATGTAGAAGCCTCTTCAGACTGCACCAGCAAGAATTTGGTAATATGAACATCAGTAGTTGCAGTTGTCTACAATTTCTCTCTAAGAAATCACAGAAATCAAAAAAATAAAAATATAAAAAGGGAACCAGACGTAGGTGAGCTAGCCAGATCTCCCGCTTTTTGCAACAGATCAGCAGCTTTTCCAAGCAAGGACTTGTACTCTTTGGAGTAAGGGACAATATAAAGATCATGAGCATAATTGGTGCCAACCACTACATCAAGAGACTCAGCTTTATCCAGAAAAATTTCACTATGCCTTTTTATAACATTGAAAAAGCCAATTGCTTCCTTTTTCTGATCCTCTGAGAGACTGTTCTTCCACAATTCAAATTCCTAAGGCATGATAATATTTTGAACATTCAATTAAACAAATCAATGAAGAGCACGTTACACTGCTGAAGGTAGGTCGTCCAAGTGAAGCAGTTGGATGCAACATGTGCAACCATCTTTTTTTGGTCAAACAAAAATGTTCTCACTCCATACCTTTTTGTCCATATCTGGGGGGTAGAAATTTGCACCAGGTGGTTTCACAACAGGAAATGCTGTTCTATACTGGAGGCCTTTCCACCCTGCTACTGGCTTTGTAGCTTCAGGAAGCAGCTTAATAGCAGAGTCGGCAGTTGTCAAAAATGCCTTATTTTCATCAAGACAAGACCTGCAAGCACCAAAATATATTAGTCATCCAACAAATCAATTTTAAAACTATAACAGCAGTAAATATGTGTTAAAAAGACACTAGTTATGATATTTAGTTATTCATCCTAATGAGTTCCATAACTAAAGCAATTGAAACATGGATATTGTGCCAAAAGCCAGCCAGGAAAATTTAATGAGTTACTGATGGTGTCAAAAGAACACACCCACAGAAACAGCAAGTCGATGCAAGCTACAAATCCAACTAAAACCAGAAGTTACTTGGGCACCCAGAGATCTTTGCATCCAAGACATAGAGTATTAAGGGAGGTGTTTGAGCTAATGGTGACGTTCATGTCATAACAGTGATGATTATGGAATCCTCTATAAAATACAGAAGTAAAGACAACTAGACTACGTAAAAGGGAAGGGAAAGAAGATCACAAATTAAATATAACTTTCAGCATACCAGAAAGAATGTCTATATAGCTTGTATATGGAACTTAAGCTCGATTAAGGACCAGTTTTGAGATAGCAAAAGCACTAGTTGGACAAGTTCCAGGTTTGGAGCCTGACTTTATTACATTTGGGATAAACTAAACAGGCCCATGGCAAGCTGGATAAGCTGGTGTATCTTCTCAGTTGGTCTACAAGGCCTACAAACTTGATTGACTAATCGTCTTGCATGGAAAGATATCTCATTGTTGTCCACATGATCTCCTCGCATTTGGACCAATTAAATCAAATTCACCAACATATTAAGTCAATTCAATTCCACATTGAATATTTAAATATTCTTAGGGGTATAATGAGTTGGTGATGCATTAATGAGGTAATGAGCATTGTTAGTTTGCATACATGAGGTTTCCCCTTGCAAAGGCCATTAAAGTGTTGGTGACCTAGATGGTCTTTTAGGCATTTGAGAAACAATTCCAGGAAAGCAAGGGTGAAGCTTTTGTTATAGGGGGAGATTGGGAAGGACGCCTAAATGGGAAGGTAACATTCATGATGCAGCAGGATTTCTAGGTCTCAGAGAATTTGTGAATTGAATATTAACTTGATAGCTTTCCTGTACATACGGACGTGAAGAGAATCTAACAAACAAACAGGAGCATGTACAAAAAGAGTTACACGGCAAGACACATACCATGGAGATTTATTAACTTGATAATAATTCCACTTCAACTTGTCCAACTGACTTTTGTTAGCTTGTTCCTTTAGCCAATTTCTCAAGGATGGGTTGCTGTACCAAACCTGTTTATGAAGCAAAAGAAGGAAGAGGAAAAAGAACAAAATTCCAAGTAAGAGTCATACAAAAGTAGAAACAAATTAAGACAGAGGACCGATTCTCTAAGCACATCTTTACCATACATTTGATTTAAACTGATCAACTTTGCAATGCTCATTCCTAGATAAAAACAACAAGAGGCCCAACAGGTGAGTGGGCAGTAAAAGAACTGACAAGTAAATTCATTACATGCTGATCAGACAATCTATAATGCGCTCTTTTGTTGATCCCAAATATCTTCCACAAGTTATACCACAGTACTTAAGCTGTTCATGTTAATGTCTTCAAGTAAATTCATTACATACTGGTCAGACAAACTATAATGCGCTCTTTTGTTGATCCTAAATATCATCCACCATTTATACCAGAGTACTCAAGCTGTTCATGTTAATGTCTTTGAGATTCTTTAACGAATACAATAACTAACTCTTTACTAAAGTGACATCGAGTTGATTTATGAAGAAAAGAAGAAACATGATACTTCCAGCCAAAAAAATCTTTTTTTTTTTGGAGAAAAGGTAAAATTTAATTGAAGGCACTAAGGAAGTGCAACATCTTATAGAAGCAAACCAATGTACAATGACACATATGTGCTTGGCCAAAAAAATCAGTAAATAGGCAATCTCTTGGATAGTATTTATGAAGCAAAAGCTGACGGCTGTCGGAGAAAAACATTTTCAATTGTTCTATTGTTTATGAGTCTCCATGAAAACCCTGTTTTTCCTAACTCTAAAAAATGACCCAAAAAATGCACGAAGGTGAAGTAATTTGTGCACCAGGTAAGGATAACTAACATTTGGGAATATAACGTGTTCGACAAAAACACACAATACAAATCCAAATTGCTCCAAAATGTTTTGGTTTTAGTTCCTAAATCTTTTCAATTAGCTTCATGCAAAAGCTATTGACAATATAAAGCATTATGGTAGAAAGTAAAAGGAATTATAACCTTTTATCTTAGGTTTCTTAACTAGTTGTGGACAACCTTCTATGATAGGTTACTAGAAGTGAGCAATTTAATTCCACCCAATATGAACACTGAAAAATAGCTAATAATTAAACTATGGATAACTTGGTTTACACATTGGAAACAGAGAATGTGAGCATCTAGTGCAAACCGACTCGACTTTACTTGAATATGACTCCGACTTCCATCAAGCATTTTGAGCTCAATCTGCATTAGTGAAGTCAAGCTGACTTCCATTTAAACTCAAGCCAGATGCTTGGGAGAATGGTACCCATAATCTGAATGCTCTGGCCACTCCACTCATGTTGTGTTCTTTCCCTTAATTTCTATTCCTATAAGTCTATAACTTAAGACTATAAACTCAGACCTAACTCACAAAGAAACTTGAATATTTTAAAGTAAATTTTAGATAATCTCCTACTTCACAGACAGAGGAATACACTCAAGAAGATATAAAAAGATGGCGCAAATTGATGAAAAAGTGAGGATGACAGGGTCAAGCAAAAGATGAGTCAAATAAAGCTAATGTGTAGCATTTTTCAAATCTTTATCATTTTGCAAGGAACCATCATAATCTATTTCCATGTTGAAAATTGACCAGAATAAGTACATAAGTGCTTATGAATCTTTTTCAGAGGAACTAGTTCAATTAAAAATCAAAATCAGCACTGATATACTTGGTAATCTTTTCACAGAGAACCCAATCCCAACCTCCTCTTTTCCTGGTGAAACCTTGAAAGCAATAGTCGAAAAGAATGCCAAAACTTTTGAATGCAAATATTTGTTCATGTAACATTACTACATAAGACACTGGCATAAATAACAGCCATCTAAAGCTTTTTCTTCCCAACCTGAAGACAAAAAATGTCATCCATGATGGCTGCAGCCTTAATCAGTAATGCTAGAGCTTCTTTATCTGCACTTGTAAGCCCCGTTAACTGTACAAGAACAAAGAGAATACAATGTCACCAGTAAGTTTCTTTTTCACCTTTGAGATAAATACATTAAATAAGGTTTCCTGGTACCACAATCATGGCATTGTGCATATCATGAGGAAAAAAGAGTTCTGAGTAAAGCAACAAATAATGCACCATATCAGTAGAAACTGACGAAAAAGCTAAACTTGAAAAAGTTCAAGTAGGTCTAATAAAAAAAAGCATTATGCACTAATATATAGGTGTTGTCTTTGGAGCTAACTTTTTTTCAGTTCAGCTCAATTTAGGTCCATCTTTTATGTGATAATGCACAAAAGGAGATAAATGACCATTTCTCTGTCATGTTCATAATTCAAGCTCTGACAATCTCTCTTACTACTTGTGCCCAGAAGTAACATATCCAAAATTCAAGGGCCATCAGGATGAAAAAAATAGAACGACAAATTAATGCTTTGCCAACTGAGATTACCACCTTGACAAAAATCAATCACATGAGAGAATCAGACTGCTGAGAATGGTGGCAACTTTGTCTTTGTTGAGCTGAAAATGAACATAGTATCAATTTACATTGTTGTGTCTAATCTATAAGATTTTGGGAAACTAGATGTCATTTGTTTGAATACAATTCATCTCTGGTGACAAGCAACTGTAAAATTTTTTCATTCTTACAAGTATTTATTCCTCGAAAATTCATATTTAGAAGTTAGAACACACCAAGAAGCTGACAACATCCTCAAATAAACAATAGAGAATGGAAAAAAAAAAGAAAAAAAAATAAACAATAGTCCTTTTCCAATTAAAAGAGGAAACAAGAGAGTCAAAATCTCATTATCATAAAGATGGGACTCATTCATCTACATAAACCAGACCAGGTCAACATGATTACTGAAGGATTTTTTCTGAATCTGTGTGGCCATTCCTTGACTAGTGGAAAGAGTTTTGGCATCAAGGCACCTATTCTTAGTTGCTTCAAGAATATATTCGGATAGTTGAAAATATCATACATCTGTAGTCACAACACATGTGCAACTATAGTATAAAGAGAAAGAAATTAACTTCATTCAACAAGAACTTAATTCCATTGCACTTATAAAGGTCAAGCCTGGACATCACCACAACAAACAGATAGCTCATTCTTTAAAATATGCTTCAGTTTTCTTGATTTTTTCACCTCTAAAAGACAGACAAAACAAGGTGCACAATTAACAGACTGGAAATGAAAAATAACTTAAAATCCACTTAAATCTCACCTAGATATTGAATCTGTATCAATAAAAAAAAAAAAGTTAGTTAAGGGAAAAAAAGGACCTCTGCACTGAGGGAGATCTGAGCATAACGACTGAGCTGCTTTTCTAGTGTCAAACTCCGAGATTCCAGATTTTCTCTGTACCTACAAATATTCCAACAGCTCATGTTTGCAAAAGTAACCCATTGAATATTCAAAGCTCAACAGTAAATGAGCATTCTGAAATGCAGAAATGCTCGAATACAATTCCAAATATTTTTGTATAGGCAAACATATGTTTTATATTAGATTATGACAAGGCCGATGAGGCCTTGATCTAGCAGCTAAGGTTGAGGCCTCAGGATGTAGAGGCATTGGGTCAAATCCCCCCATCCCCTCCCCACTTCTTAAATCCCACTCCTCCCCTGCAGGGAAAAGTCAAAAAAAAAAATGAGAGAAGTTGCTTTTATTTTGCACAATGACTAAGCTGCATTTCTACTGTCAAACTCCACCCTTCCAGATTTTCTCTGTACCTAGACAGTACCCCAACAGCTTATAAATATAAAAAGAATCCTTGGGAAATATAAAGCCCTGCAGAGGAAACTAGTGTTCCCAAATGTAGTAATGGTGTGAAAAGTTTCCAAATATTTTTGTGTAGGCAAAACTAATGCTTTATTTTAGACTATAACCATGAGACAGCAACATATATTTTAATTTTAAAAGAGAAGGAAATATTGGCACGTCCACTCTTTCAACAGGCACATTACAAGAATTTTGAATATAGACATACATATGCACATTTATACATCAAAGTGCAAATATACATGTATCTATGTATACATGCACATATAACCATCTTAATTTTCACGTTTCTTACCATAATACAATGAGAATAACACATTCTTAACTTAATACATTGAGAAGCTAAACATAATATTATCATAAAAACAGAAAGGATCGAAAATTTTTACTTGACGAAATCATCCTTACTCTCTATGAATAACAAAACTAAATGGCTTCTTAGTGGATTCTATGGCTTTACAAGTATATTCTATAAATTCTGATTTCAAGTAGTTAATTTCTTTTAAAAATAAAACGTTCTTATTCAATTTAAATCTTTGCACAAGGGCATTGTATACTGTATGCACAGACAAATAAAAAGTTGAAATGCTTATAACAAGATTAGAGAGCCAATATCGCCATCTGTTTAAAAGACAAGAAAAATGTAGACAGTACCTTTTACAAACAGAATAACAGAATATGGAAGAGTGAAAATGAAATCATTGAGCAAACAATTCTCAAAAGGTCAAAACAAGTAGCAGAAGAAGCATACTTATCCATACAAAAGAAACAGGAAAGGAAAAACAAGAAGTGCAAGTATATGCCATTTATCTTTTCAGCATGCTTAAGCAAAATGCTGCCTGTTATTCAACTGGAAACTATTACATGCATACCTTTCACTAATTATTTCAAAGACTTGATGATATCCACCATTTACATCATATGGCACATAGTCAGGGTCTTCTTTAGCAAGCAAGTCTCTGTATTCCTCCACAGAGAGATATTTCACAGCTGAAACTTCGGATTCCTACAATGAACAATGAGACATTCTCTATTAGTGGTAGAGCTGCATGAATGAGTCAATACATATGAAATAGAAGTGAAAAAGCATGGACACATATTCACCATTTAAAGGAAACAGTGATCATGATAATTAATGTTACTGAAGATGAAACCTAACTGCAGATGTGTGTGTGTGTGTGAGAGAGAGAGAGAGTATGACAAGAATAGCAGAAACATTTCTGCATGCAATTCTTCCCCGCCCAACCCCACCTTCCTCTTGAGTATTCCTTCGGTTTGAGCTATATATACAACTATAATGTCATCTAAATGTATCAAAAGGAATTACATAACTAAGGATCTTTTACTATGCTCCCCCTCAAGCTAAGAAAAGATGTTATTCATATTCAGCTTGTTTAACAACTCCTGAAACCTTATCCTAGGTAGCTCCTTAGTCGATATATCAGCAAGTTGAATCCCACTTGAATATTGGGGAAGCACAATAACCGTGATACAAGCCTTTCACAAATAAATGGCTTACTCAATCTGTTTGATCCAGTAATTTTGCACTAGGTTGTTTCACAATACAAAGAGCAGCTCTATTGCCAGAATAACAGTTTATTGACTGTTCAAAATTCATTTCAGTTCCTAAAGCAGAATTGTCTTCCAATCATTTCCAAACACCTTGCTACATGGCTCTATACTTCACCCTTGCAGTGGAATGTGCACAAATGCATAGCATATTATCTCCAGTTCACAAGGTCTCCCTACAAAAGTACATAATAGTTCTTTCCAAACACAACATCCCTAAGCTTCAGTATGTAGCTCCTGTTGATTATGAAATATTAAATCTCTCTCCCTTAGATAAGTTATAGAGTTATGAGTAGGTGAATAACTTGATGGTTAAAACCTCTGACTATGCATGAGTTGAGAAACTGCACCAATTGCAAATTCTACAATATCCTCTTAACAGATACAAGTGCATGATAATAAATGACTATATCTGTAAGCATCAATGATTGTTACTGCATCAAACCAATTTAAATCTAAATGAAGCTATATTAGATTAATTGCAGCAGCTGGCCGAATTCCCTCCTATTCGAGAAATTAAGGGAATCTTACTTAATACAAATTAAAATGATATCTTTGACTTGCAACTTTGAACCCTTTAGATATACACCAGCAGCCTTTTTAATCTCAACTTCAACAGTGAGGCCTGTCCTCACCTCTTATTTGACTAAGACAATTCCTGTGACCATTGTATCACATCAATTATTAAGAGCAATCAGCTGTTGTTCTATAAGAAGAGCATGTCATGCATTTAACCGGATGGCAACAATTTTTTGTAGCTCCACATAAACATTCCCACCATCCTCTAGGAGATTTCTTTAATCCATAATAGGACTTCTTTACATATACACACATTGCATGCCACCACATATCCAGCAGGAAGATCCATTCCACAAATAAGAAATGCTTTTAAATTGTACAAATGTAGCTCCTATTCAAAAAGCTTCCAAACAGAAAAACCAGATTATGGTTTAGTTTTGCTACTAAAATAAGCATCTCTTTGTAGTACTTGCTTCTGATTTTATCCTTTTGCAATCAGCTGCCATAGTTCTCCAGAGATGAGTTCTCATAACATGATGATGTACACCTACTTGCTTCCAACGTACTTTGACCTTTGGCAGATCAACCCATTCCCAACTGCCATTTTTCCCTAAAAGTACTCCTCATCCACATCATTTGACTTCAACTTGCCTCACATCATTTGACATCAACTTGCCTCTTGTTAACTCGAAGGAGGTGATGCAAAGTAAAGGGTAACAAGGAGATGGCGGTCAATATAAATAAACAGGAAATTGGATGTTGAGAATACTTTTATAACACTTTTGCAATTATCATCAGATGGGTCACAAAAATTATAAGATTTAGTTGTAGTAATTTAAAGGAGAAATATCAGCATAACCACCTAATAAACTTCTCAAGAAGATGTAGTCATTATCTAAAATTATCAGCAACCTGTTCCTTTTTTAGTAGATCAGCAATTATCTCATGTTAGTCTGAGTAGTAGGCAGTGTATAGTAAATTCTAATACTATAATTCTCCTTGAAACTACAAGAAGGGAAATGATGAGAATATCCTGATTCTGAAACTGATAGCGATAAGTGGCAAAAGTCCACTAAGGTTTATAGGAGACGTGGGAAGGATATGTCGAATGCCCAGGCATTGATTTGGCATGCTTTTGATGACAAGGAACCAACTTGGGAGTTGGCCTGAATCCTATGGAGTTTATTTTCTGATTTCTGTCAGCAGTGGTATTTTGGTAATTTGAATTAGCTGCAGGAATTTTATGTTTACAGTAATTTTTTTTGTTTAGTAGTTATTCTTGGTAATTAGTAATTTGGTTGTTATAGGGAATAAGAAAGCTTAGCCTTCTAGCTTTCCAGTTATAATTCTATTCTAGTTAGGAATCTTAATTAGGATTGGAAAGGGATTTGTCCTAGTGTCTATAAATATCAACTTCTCCACAAAGAGAAGGCAGTTTTTTGGTCATTAATAAAATATTCCTGCAGACTTAACGTCTCCCTTAGGGCTGTGTGATGCATCCCAACTTTAGGTGTGAGGCCTAAAGATTCCTAGGAGTGATTCCTAGAACTACCAACCAGTTTTACCTTCTTAAGCATAATCTGCCAGCCTATTTCAAGTTGCTATTTTAAGTTTGGTGATATTCAATATATAAGCCCTTCTACAACGCTGTTGTGCCTACCAAGTGTTCGTGCTGCGTCAGAAACACAACAGAAATCTAAGTTGATGATTTACACCAACAGACTCCTCCCCACCCATGGATGCTTAATGTACCTTCAGCTCATAAAATCTTGACTACCAAGATGCCTACCACGATACCCACCTTGCCATCATACACCATGTGACTTTTCCTATTTTTCACAAAAGAGCCTCAATTGACCAACCGAAAGGACTGCATGACCATCTCCATCTTTTGTTGCACTAAAATTGGTGAGAAGTGGCAGTACAAAGGCAGGGTTGTAATCTCCCACTTAAGCCTCAAATAGCCCAGGTGTTTTATTGATTTGAATTTCAACTCCACCGACAAATTTATGCCAAAGCAATTTTCAGTCATTTTCTACAATTATAAATCTTGCAACTAAATATTACTACAGAAAACCATCAAAAAAGAAAATTCTATTGCACATGAAAAAGGTTCTATGTTGCGGGTGGCAAATACATTTCTTGAACTAATCCTCAACAAAAGCACAGTCAAGGTACATAAATTAGAATAATTTAGTTTAAGAACTTTATATTACAGTGACTTCTATACTGTTAGAACATTCATGGTAGGGAACTTAAAACAACAGAACATGTAACAGAAAAAGCAACTCTAAGACCAAGACACAGATTACAAGGCACAGCATGACATAATTTATTAATGTGATTATGCGATGATTATATGTATAAGTCGAAATGTTTTAAGTTGAGAACAAAAACAACACTTCCATCACAGTTATTTCAGGTCAAAAGGACAAAGATGAGATGAAAACTCATGTTTAGTTGTTCATAGAAGGTAGAGAATAGTTAAAAGACAATGTCAGACTCTTACCTGAAGAGTAAAAGCCTCCAAAGGAATTGGATCCAATGTCGTAACCACATATACATCATTAAATTCGTTGTTAATGAATGTACCACCATTTATCACACTGCACAAAAAAGTGGTGAGAATTCATGGTTTCCAGTAACAGGACATGAATATTGTATCAAGAAAATATATCATCCAGCTAAAACAAATTCCAAGAAGCTGTAGTTAGGTACTGGAGACAATATTTCTACAGAATCTATAAAATAAGGAGAGTAACCTGAAATTACTTACGGTTGAAATGGGAACTACACCTCAAAAACACATTCTTTTGGCACAAAAAATAGTCAAACTTTTATTGTTATTCTCGTACATTTTTTAAACCATGGATATCAAAATAGTCAGATTATGTAGACCTGTAATGGATATAACTGAAAAAAAAAAAAGAAGAAATCTGGGCCACGACGTGGAAGTTACTATGTTAGTATAGACACAAGTCTCAGGACAATAACTTCCATATCTTTCATGAAGACGGACACTGAATAACAGATACAAGAAAGCCCCATTTCTGTCTTTTCCTCTTGGTACTTGATTTTTCCCTCATTTTCTGTTTACCCCATTCCTTTTACCACGTACATTCCTTTGCTCCTATACTGATCCTAAAGCTACACATATCACATTCAGAGAATAATCAATCACAGAATAATAAATTATGCAACTGCAGATGTTTTAAGAACAAGAGCGTTTTTAATGGCATGAGGCTGGCATGGAAATAAACATGAAATGTGAAATAATTGACTTAAATTACTCATTACTAGTATGGAACATATAACAGGAGGATCCAAACATAATCACCACAAGCAGAGAAAAATATTCTGAACATTACTGGCAAGTTTTCATCTCATACTTATTTTTATTTCTGAAAAGAGGCACCTGTCTTTGTCAGATCATATATTAACACAATTAACAAAGATAGAACTTTTAGAAGCAAGTTTTCATCTCATACTTAATCTTTATTTCTGAATCTTTGTCAGATCATATATCAACACAATTAACAAAGATAGAACTTTTAGAAGCAGCAGGATGGGATGAAAATTAGAAAGGAAGAGCATCAATCACCAAAAGGAAAAGAAATGAGAGGACAAAAAATTGTTTTCCAGGAACCCTCATAACTAATAACTCAACAGAATGACATCAATATCTCTCTCATAAGCACACTCAAGTAAAGATTAGGCTGAATTGTTGTGGTTCTTTATCCTGATATTGATAAAGAGAAGAACAAGATTCATTCAATTTCACAGGCTCCACAATCAGAAAAACTTCCTCAACATGTATAGAGTTACACCTCTCAGACGTGTAAATAGGAGAACAGACTATGTACTTATGCTATACTTTACCTGGCAAACCCTAACTATGCCCTGAGCCAATCTTGATTTTCATCTTTTTTCTCTCTTACATGTTTCTTCAAAACACCTTGTGTCTCAATTTACAAATGTATAACTTACCAACAGAAATTTCAAAATGAAATGATTTGAAATAAGACAAGTTACAGTAAGTCAAAATCAAATCTAGTGTCCATACTTTCAACCAAGAGAAGAGAATTCAAACCGGAAAATTGCATAAATCTTGACACTGGATAAATTTCGATGATGCAAGAAAGACTTATTTGGATGAACAAAATAAGACTTAAGACTATCTAATAAGATGTATGTGCTAACCACTCTTGAAGGAAAACAAAAATCAATTCAAAGGCGTCCTTTGGAAGTAGTATCCCAAGCTCTTCATGAAGCTCCCTCCTGAGGCAAGCAAAACTTCTATATCAAGCTGAGGCCAACAGAAAAGAAATTTCAAACCAGAAGAGAAGAGTAAATAAAAAGGATCAGAAAAATCATATCAAAATCCTGGCCATTAAAAGAGTTAAATGCATGAAACACTTCATGCACTTACAAAATATGTAGGTGGTTATTACATACACATTTATAACTTGCCCATGCTCAAGTGGTAAATAGTACAACCAGAAAATTGCCTATATTAAAATGAGGTCTAGTATGCTATATCATTTTTCTATACTACTAGAGACCGCAAGCATCTTTTGTATATAGCTTTCGAATGCAGCCCACTCAAACTTCAGCATAGGTATAGGGATAGAGTTGAATCCCAGATAAATGCTCTCAAACAGTGCTAATCCGAAGTTGTTTGAAACAGGAGAAGAGGTTGGACAACCCACCAATTTTCAAATCCTACTATAAGGAAATAACTCAGTTTAAGAAACATCCACGATTGACTGTACATGCTTTGGCAGTCTTATGTTTGGCCCTTGGAGGAGTGCACTTAAAGCATTCCTGGTTGGAATTCTCCAATAAATTGTAATCTCTGTGGAAAAACAAGCTATAGATTCCAACCAAATTAGGCTTTAAACTTGTTCTCCTGATATTTTTAACAGCTTTGCTGCTAATACAAAAGTTCTCTAAAATAACACATTACCTAGTTGATTATTTTCTCATGTTTACTTTGATGTTGATCCTATAGCAACTTCTTTCTTTCATCAGATCTAAAATTAGCAGGTTACCCTCATACTCCAAAATGAAAAAACAAATGAATTAGTTATATTCCACATCAAGCACTTGAGCTGCAAATAACGTATGACTTAAAGTTGTCGAATGAGAACTCTAATTGTTTTATAAGATTTAATGGAAGATCATGTAGGTTGTCAAACATGTCAGTCAGAAAGTGGTGGATCCCAGACTCAGAGAATGAAAATGGGGAGTGACTATCTGGAATATAAAAGAGCCCATGTTAGGCCAGTTTTGTGCCAGTGTAGCAATAGAAACTCAGGGAAGCTTGGAATTAACATAAATTTCGATAAGTAGAATGAGTATTGTGTGTAGGCGCATGCCTATAGCATGAATATAAATTCATTAACATACATTGCTGAGACTAGGGAAGAATCGCCAGCAGATACATGACCAGCACTAGATATATCCCACAACCCAGGCCATGAATCCTTACAGTCAGCACGTTGTTGAAGAAGTAATTCATGAGTACTCTCGGAATATATCCACACATGAACAGCTCCATGGTAGTCCCCGTCTCTATGAACATCTCCCCTATGCAAGTAACAAAACCTTAATCCCAAGACATCAGAAAAGAATTATAAAAATTACAAATTCCTTGATCATTGTGTAAATTTAGACATCCTACTTCCTCTGTGCTTCCATTGGTAAATGCATGTATCTAAGAATCTCTTTGCGTACATATAGCCAGATAATGTGGAATAAGGATTTTGTTCGGTTGATTCAAATGTGTTCATAACAAGCTTCTGACAATCCGAAAGCAGTCAAAATGCCACTAAACTCCATCAGTACCTAACCAATACATTCTCACACTCAGGTGATGTAACCTATAACATAAACTTTAATGGCATGTTCTGGAGGATTGATGAGAAGTAATCCGCCCATATCATTCTACTACCACCAGCAATTCAAGTGCAAAACTAACGGATATGAATAAATAAAATTTCAGATTTACACGGAAAAAGAAACATGGTATTGTTTCCTGACCCAGAACTTAAGCAATAACAAATATTAAGTGCTAGATAATCTAAGAATAACTGTCCACAAATTTCACAAGAACCCTGCTACATACACACAATTATGTCTCCCTCTTCTTTGGTGCTTATAGTAAAGCATCGACAAAACCATGTCGTTCAGGAAATTAAAACAACTTAAAATAGCCATCAAAGACCTCCCTTGTCAAATATATTATCTCCCACTTCAAAAAACCAAAGACTCCATCATTTCTGCCCCATCAGAAATCCAAATACAGGAATATATGTGGTAGAGTAAACAATAACCAAGTTAACGTTACTCCAGCCATTAAACGCTAAGAACATCTAAAAGTTTTCCTTTTTGGCACTATCCAGCAACTTTATTACCATAATTTAAACAATTGCAATCAAAGTTTTCAGTTGATTTTCTTATTGTTATTTCACTTTTCTGATCTGCGATTTCCACAAAAGCCAATAAGTTCATTGAATTCTTGATTTCTTAGGATTCTTCACTTCTTTGTTGATATGAAGAGAGGGAGGAATTAATCACCTGGGTTTTGAAATGCCAGTTTTCTGACGAGTTTTAGTGAGGACATCAAGGTACTCTTCTTGTTTGAGTACCTCATGTTCTGCTCCTGCTGCAGCCATTACTTCTTTCTTTTCTTTTCTTGGAAAACGAAAGCTCCAATTGAAAATGAAAGCTCACTAAAGTCCAACTTTTGTGTCAAGGATGCACGTTGATAAGAATCAAATTCGCTGCGGGAGAATTGCAGCTTTGGTATCTAATATTTGGCCTATGTATCAACTTAGTCCTTAATATTTTGATTAAAGTCACTTTAGTCCCCAAACTTTGTGATTTTAAGACAGATTTCGAGTAACTAACAGAAATGAAAAAATGATTGATGATCAATCAACTGCTATTAGTCAACAACTTTGTTTTTACACTTTTGGTCTCAAATGTTTTAATTTTAAATCATTATATTTCCCTAAATTTTAAATAGTGATATTAAATGTTTTAGCATTCATTGAGATGCAAATTAGAATGATATAACATTAAATGGGTAACAAGAATGCTAATTAAACTTCCTTTTCTTCTTATTTTTATTTTTATTTATTTATTCATGCTAATAATATATCAAATGGTTATTTTTGTATATATTTAGTCTCAAATTTGCTATAATAAATGTATATTATTGTTTCTCACTATTCATAATTAATTGAAAATGAGTTTTATTATCTTTATTTCTAATAATAATTAAAACTTTATTAAATATCCCTTTAAATATAAGGAATGTATGCTTTTTGTAAATTAAGGTGATAAGCTTTTTGTAAATTAAGTTGCTTTCTTTTTAACATTAATAAGTTATCAATTGAGTTTGAAATGAAGTCAGCATTTTATACACATTATACGAACCATTAAATGATTATCAAGGTAAATAGATATTAAAATAAATGCTTTAAAACTACAATATTGAAATGTTAGATTTTAGGTGGCAAGAAAGACAACAAAAAATAAAAGATAATTTTCTTAAGAATTTTTAAAATTACTTCACATTAATGCTCACCATCTAATGCGAACCGATTCATCTTCATGTTCTCATCACCATTAGGGTGTGGCAATGGGGCGAGGGACACCTCCCCCAACCCCCGCCCCGTTACATTTTAATTCCCCCCGCCCCCGCCCCCGCCCCGTCCCCCCCCATCCCGCTTTCCCCGCGGGGGCACCTGTGGGGTTAAAAAAATTTTATTATATAATTTTATTATAATTAAATTTGAACAAATAATCAAGTACTAAAATATCAACGCATCGCCAAATTATTATTCATTGTAACTTCACAATTGAAACTCATAAAAATAATTAAACAAAGGTTATTTGAATACAATCTAATATGATAAAACAAATATAACTAAAATAATCAAGTTTTCACTTTTAATACAAATACAATCACTAAATTATTATTGTATTTTTTTAGAAAAAAGTGTTATTGTATTAAGTGTAGTTAGAAATTTAACATAAATGTATTAATAAATTTAGTATAAATAATTAATATTTTTTATTAATAGATATGTATAATTAGTAGTATAATTGATAATATCATTATGTATATATAATTATGTACATATATATTTTTTTCAAACAGGTGGCGGGGCGGGGACCCGCCCCAATGACCCCCTCGGATGCCCGCGGGTACCCGTCCCCGTTGTCATCCCTAATTACCATCACTAGTTTTTATAAGTAAAATGGGTATCTACAAAAATTTAAAGTGTACGTGTACAAGGCACAACAATTTTTGTAGTAGTAACTATAATAAAATTAGATTATAGGGATAAAACTTATGATAATAAACTTAGATTATAGGGAGAAAACTATTATTAACTTAGATTATTATAGTTACTTTTACAAAAATTAATACATATCTTGTACGCATAAGTCTCATATTCTTGTAGTTAGCCATTGCACTTATAAAAACTAGTGATGATAAGTATCAATATGAAGTGATTTAAAGAATTGTTAAGAAATCTATCCTTTTTTTTTCTTTTTTCTTGCCATAAAACTAAAAGTCCATATTATAGTTTTAAATCATTTATTTTAATATCTATGTATCTTGATAATCATTTAATAGTTCATATAATATGTATAAAATGTCAACTTCATTTCAAACTCGATTGATAACCTATTAAAATTCCAAAAAAATATCAATTTAATTTATGAAAAGGATATATTTCTTATATTTAAAAGAGATAAATAATTAATTTTTTAATTATTATTAGAAAAATAAAACTTATTATGAATTAATTATTATAAGAAATAATAATATAAACATATTATACTAAATTTGAGACCACCTATGCAAAAGAAATAAACATATGATACATTATTAGAATGAATAAATAAAAAAAGAAGAAAAAGAAGTATAATTAGAATTTTTATTACCTACTTAACACTATTTTAGTCTAATTTGCATCTCAATTCATGCTAAAATCCTTAATATCACTATTTAAAATTTTAAAAACTATATAATGATTCAAAATCAAAATATTGGGAACCAAATGTGCAAAGTCAAAGTTTCTGCAATTTGATATTGCTGTTAGTCATTGTTCTATTTCTATTAATTGTCCTAAATCTGCATAAAATTACAAATTTTGAGGGCTAGATTTATTTTGAACGAAACATTAGGAACCAATTTGGCACACAAGCCAAATATTAGGGACTAGGACTATAATTCTCGCACATTTGGTTTGTATATAAAGTAGTCCTTATTGTTTTTAGGGTAAAATGCCAAAAACCCTTATGTAGTTTGCCAAATGTTCAATTTATCTCCCTTTGTATTTGAAATTCTACACTTTAACTCCTGTGTTTTCAACTAAATCGAAAATGAGACGAAAAATATCTAAACTAACCATTGAATGGAAAATGTCACAGTTGCCCTTGTATAAATGAATACATCAACGGAATGTTTTGTCATTTTGGCAATTCAAAGAATGGAGAGAGAGAGAGAGAGAGAGAGAGAGAGGGAGGGAGAGAGAGAGAGGGAGGGAGGGAGGGAGGTGAAGCTTTGGAGGAAACCGTAAGAAAACATAATGATAGCAAGATAATTGTGCAAGTTATTTATTAATATTCTATCTTAATTTTGGCCAAATATTATGCTAATTGATGTTAGAAAAGCAAGGTTTTAACATTTAACTTTGTTTATTACATTTATTTTGTCTTTCTTGCGAATGTGTTGGTGAATATTCAGATTGATTTTGATGTATTACCTCTGGTACGGGGGTTTTAAATCTAAATATTGAACTATTTTGTTCGGATATTTTTCTCATTAAAATCCTTTTCATAGGGTAAATTGATTATATGCTTTTTTCTATTCCAAAATGCATTTGGTATTTCTGCACATACTTCCCTTTTTATTATTTGTTCTAATTAAAAAAAATTTTTACACATACTTCCCTTTTTAATTGTTCTTCTATTTTTAAATATGATTTTTCTTCTTTAATATAATTTATTTGTTGTTTAACGTATTGAATAGTATTTATTGTTTTATAAATAGAAGAGGATTGTAATACTAGTAATTATTTTTGTTTTATTGGTGTTATAAATTTGAAAATTATAGTTTTTCCCATAATATTTACGTGAACTCCTTCACTATTTACAGCAAAAGGATATATTTGAATAAAAAAGGGTGTTCCTAGAATTACATCTATGTGAATATTTTTTACTACAATGAAATTACGTCTTATACAATAATTATTATTGCATATTGATCCCTTGGTAAATTTATATTTTACTTGTAATTTTTCTCCATTTGCAGCTCTTAATTCTTCATTTGTTCTCACAATATTTTGTTGGGATTAATCCTTCTTTTATGCAACTCTGATCTGCTCCACTATCTAATAAAGCTACAAACGTTTCTTTAAAATCTTCTATCATTGCAGTAACTAATACATACCATTTTTGAAATGTTATTTTTTCAATTGTATTTAAATATTGTTTTTCATCTGATGGGTTTTTCGAAATAACTATTTCATCTGTCTTAGATATAGAAGGTTGATCTATAGTTTTTATTAATGATATTCTTGCTTCAATTTCTAAGTCTTTTGTTTTTATTTCTAATATTTCATTTTGTAATTGTTTTACTTGTGTTTTTAGATTATTAATTTCTATTTGAAGATCTTTTGTAGTTTCTTTTCTTATGTTGTTCATATTTGGGCATTTATCTATTAGTTTTGAAATACTAAAAGGTTCTATTATTTTTGGCATTTTATCTTCTTGTAAAATTATATATTTTAATCTTTCTAAAAATTCGTTTTTAGTTTTAGGGTCATCTATGTTTTCTATAATATCTAATAAAAATTCTTTATCTTCCTTTTTTTTAATGACATTTATATATTTTGAGACCTTTGAACAATTACAATCTTCTTGTTCTTCTGAACTAGATAAATCATTATAATAGTCATCTTCCGTATTTTGTTCTTTTTCATTTATTAGTAGTGTTATTAACTTATTTTTTATTTCATCTTCCTCAGCACATATTTCATTTATTTTTTCTTTCAGTTTACATTTATCTACTTTATGCCCCATTCTTCCACATTTCCAACATACTCTTTTATTTTTTCGAAATTTTCTTTTGTATTTATTTTTATCATAATATTCATTATTAAAATTTTTCTATATTTTTTACTTCTTTTATCATTCTTCTTATTGCTTGATGATGGGGAGTTGATTCATTTAATTCCAAAGGTTTCATAGAATGATCCTACTTCTTTTCTTTCCGATCCATATTTTATTTGAAGTTTTAATTCAGAACATAAAGCTAATCCTTCCTTTTTGACAAAGAGCAAACAATTGTCCAATAAAAATATTTTCGAATGAAATTACTTCAATTCCCATTTCCTTTTGTAAATTTTTCATAATTTGTTGGGAGAATAAATTTGGTAATCCAGTTATAAATCTTTCTTTCCAAAATGAAGCATTACAATCTGGTCTTCTTAATGTGACAGCGCCACCTTCCCCTAAGGCGTACTAAACGGGTTAGCGGACTGCCTGCCCAACTCTCGCCAGAACTATCGAGCAGTTAAATGAAATCGAAAACGTTCAGGAAGGTAATAGCGCGCTCAAACGATTCGATGTCGCCAAATGGCAAAACGAAAATCGAAACCACAATGAATAGTGGTTGCCACATCACCATCCAACCAGGAGCCAAACGAATACAGATATGGCCTTATAACTCGGGAAAACATTTCCAATCCAA